AAATACATTTTTTGCACGCAGCAATAAATTTTGTTCACTCAAATTTAGTTTTTCTTCACTCTAAATAAATTTCTCCTCAAAATGCAACACTTGCACCTGCAAATTTTTTTTTACGTGCGCAGAATAATGGCACAAAAATAACGCCATATTAAAAGAGACTTCCTCCTTCCCACTAAGGATCCTGCTCATAGGCGATCAGTGGGGTACTCTCTGTAATATAGTAGGAGTGTTGCCTTATTTTAAAAAAAGCACATGAATGTTGCTGTGAAGTTGCTCAATCATTACATTACACACAATAGGCACACAATAATTTATATGACATTTATATGACACTGAGTAAAACAAGCATCTGAGATCCTACAGCCCAGCCAGACTCCCACATACTGACTGTGAGCTCATGTGACACACAGATTACAACTGCAATTAAATTTAATTACATTATACATTATGCATATGAGGCACAGACCAAAGACCATCAGCAATAAGATTGATGAGAAGGCGATTAATCAGAAATGGAAGAAATATAAAACGACCATCACTCTCCCCTCTGTCTGGAGCTCCACGTGAGCTCTTGCGTCATGGGGTGAAGATGATCATAAGAAAGATGGTGGACCACAGACACCAAGAACACCACACTGGACTGATATCTAGCAGCGCTTGCATGGTCCTCCTGTTCAAGGAGGCACATGACTTAGGTTTAAAAATCCAAATGATTCAGAAAAGGCTGTGTGGTCATATGAAACCAAAATCAAGCTCTTTAGCATCAACTCGATGTGCCACGTTTGGAGAAAGAGAAAGTCAAGCATGGAAACATTATACTTTTCTGCTAAGGACGGGACAACTTCACGGACATCTGAGTTGACAAGCGATCGGCGAGAAACACGAAAGGATTTACTTAAATCAGTTTATAACTGATTACTATCCCCCCACCTCACCCAGTCGTTCTTCCCCTGCCATCTTTGACCAGATTATTGTGTACATGAGCACGTTTACCTGTGCATCCAGCTCCATGATATGGGACACCTTGTTCCAGCCAAAGCCCACAAAGCGCTGGTCGTACTCGGGACATTCTCTTCTCACCACAACGTACGGCTCAAAGTCTGGCTCCCACTCCACCTTATAGGGCGTGGTGGCCGTTCGCCATTTGGCATAGTTGGTAGGCGCGTGACCCTTTGGCCACACATGATACCTGTGACAGGCAGGAAGAAGGAGACATTGCCAGTTAAATAATCCTCCAATCATCATCGACTGATCAGAAAAGTTCATTTTGGGTCGTAATTAGAAACCTGAAGGTGTAGAGAGTCCCCATGTCCAGCATGGAGAGCAGCTCGGCTTTGGATTTGGGGAAGGACAGACGGTAACGAAGGGTCTCGAAAGCTGGAACCACGAGAGCCTTCTTTGTGTGAGCCATGTCCATCTGCACCACCGACTTTCTGCAGCAGCAAACAGGAAGTGAGAGGCAGCTAAAGCAGCACGTACCTACCAGCAGGGATGACTAAACCCTCGAAAACAGGATTGCAGTCTGAAAGTTCAAAGTAAGTAAAACATCCAGAAATTCCATGAATAATGAATAATGAATGATTTTTGGTTCTTGGTTAGGAAAACTACTCCAAAAGGATTTTATGCAGGACTCATGACTCACCTCTAATGCTGGGCTCAGACTACACAGCACTTTGTGATCAGTGCGTCTCCTATTAGGCGGATATTATCGAGTCAAAAACACTCGCAATGAATTGGCAAATAGACAGAAAACCTAGACCGAACCATGGCAGGAATATCCTGGTGGAAAGGAGGGAAACGTCATCTCTTCTTTGTCCAATAATAATTTTAAGTAGTGTTAAAATATTTTTACTCTTGTTTTCAGTTCATCTTGTGTAGCAGGAGAGCATCCTCACTGAGGAGCAAACACCGTTTCCACTCGCAGCAATAAGGAAAATGAGTCAGCGCAGAACCAACGGATGTCACAGCGCAGCATTACAACCTCTAAGCACAGCGGAAAGTCAAGGTGTAGGCCTCAGAG